TCTAAAGAATTGATCACTCTCTAGAAAAGGTTAACACACTTGTTTTTTTGTACTAGCTTAAGTTTGATACATTACATTTTTTCATACCCTGTTTTAAGAAAAACTTTTTAATTTGAATTTGTGACAAAAATTTAGAGGAATACATGTTTGATTTTCCGTTAGTGAGTGGCCAACTAACGCATTACTTTTCATATAACATGCATTTGTAATTCTTAGTTTTATCTTTTATTAATTAATATATTTAATTTTTAGCTTATATAAGCACTTCTAAGAAGGTGCATTCTTAAGTCTCTATCTTTTTCTTCATCTTGCTTTCCCTTTCCTTTGAAGTTTCTTGCACCTTAATCATGATTACCATCCTGGAATTCCTCAATCTGATTCTCTACATTGCTTCAGTTCTTGATGGATACATCTTTTCTTCTATAGGATTCATATCTAGAAAGGAATTTATGTTTTTCCATGCTTATCTGTATCTACTCGTATCTTATGCAATATCCAGTTTCCTGACATTCTACTACCTCGATGACCAGTTCCTATTGATAGTACTATTACTCATTTGATAAGCACATAAGATCACCGCTGATAAGAGAGCACGTGTGGGAGAATTAGGCGCGTGTGAAGAGCTAAAGAGAAGTATGAGAAGAATAAAGCGTATAAATAGAGATAGAGTTATACTACAATATTATCAATACATTATAACTATTAAATTTTTAAATATAAATTAAAAATGGTAAAAATAGATTTAAGCAAATAATAATAATAATAAATAAGAAAAACATAAGAATAATATAAGCAAAAAAAAAATTATATTTTGTAAGACTTAAAACTAAAATTCATAGTATTGAGAGAAAATATCACAAACCATTTGACATCGCAAATTGAAACTACTTATTCACTACAAATCGGTAATCAACTTTTTCTGTGAAAATGTTAGAAATATAAAAAGTGAAATAAAATTATTCAGATATTGATTACATATTCGCATATTTATCATCACATTATCTATATATGTCTATATAATAGATGAGATTGTGGGGGTGCTAAATTTAAGTAGAAATTATCTGAAATAGACCATTTTTCACTATTAATTAAAATACTGGTACCCGATAAAGGAAAATTGTAGAAATGGTACAATATTTTCTAAATACCAAAACTACCCTTAACAAACCCAATGTTGCCGCAGCGTTCTAGCAGAGTTAATATAGAGGCTAAGATGAGCGAGTTTAGTAAACTACAATTATGCATTCGCAGCGTTTCAACATAGTTTAAATAGACGCTGAGAATCACAAGTTTGGTATAGCCGTAGCATACTCTTCGCAAGCTCTAATTTAAATCTCTCCAACTTCAGAAAGCCCAATATAAGCCTCGTAATTTGGGCCGAATATAATCAAATTATATTGAGAGAATTGTTAATATTGGTGGAGAACGTTGAACATACATAAACAATAGACAACGATAATCCTCGTAAACTTATATTTTCAAAAGCGTTACAATTCAAACGAATTTATTCCAGTTTCTGTTTGAGTCCCACAATGCTTCTTCTTCTGTTTTTTCTTCTTGTCCTATTTCTTCCTATCCATCTTCTCTTTCCCATCCTCGTGATAATCCTCATCAACTTCATAAAAATTGAAACAACTATAATGTGAGAAAAATAAAAATCAGGCAAATCCAAGTAAATCCAAGTACATTCATTGTTTTTAATGTTACAAAGTGTTAAAGTCAATTCTTTATTAAAGTTACAAAATAAATTACAAACTATATATATTTTGAAATAATCTACACAAATCATTCCTATACTTTTAAGCTCACGTTGTTAATATTAACCAAATTAACACAAAAAAGTTATAAAAGTATACTTTTAAAAATATGAATGTGTAAAACATGTTGAATTACATTGTTAAGGACTTCAATCAATCGTACAACTAGAAATATAAATTGTAGGAATACGTAATACTAATCTTACTGGAATACAGCAAAAGTAGAACTATGTGGGACATGGGTATAACTACTATCTTGTGTATATAACTATGTATAAACTGGTGGCGCACATGCAGATAAAAACGGCGTACAAGAGAGAAAAAACGGCGCACGTGAGGAACAGAATTGAACAGAAAATTCGAAATTCACCCGAATGTTTTTGTGTTTCCCTCCAATTCTCACATATTCGAGAATTCCCCCATTGTCGTAATCATCGTTTCCCTTATTCTTCTCCTTATCCTTTATTTCATTATCCTCCACTCTTTCTAACCCTCTTTTACACAGTCATAATCATCGTTTTCCTTATTCTCCTTATCCTTTATTTCATTCTCCTCCACTATTTTGACCCCTCTTCTCTCGAATTCTGTTGTTATTCTCTCGACTAAGGTTGTTTTCATGGAGGAGGAAGAACATACCACAGTGAGATGAAAAGGGCCAAGATGCTAAAGGACCGTTAAGATGCTCTAGCCGACGATGGTGACCGCAAATGCAAATATCGCATAGATGGAAGAATAAGCAACTTCTCTAAGCATCTCTAGTGCTTCTACGGACGGTCCATCATGAGTCAAACGGCGTAGAGATTCGATATATCTTGCTATCTCATGACCTTCAGCTACGCATCTTAAAAGGAAGGATCGATAGATAGATTCTTCTCTACCGAGTCTAGTGTTGAACATGAACTCATCAAGATCCACGTCGATTAGGAATTCACGGGAAAAGACAATTTGTTTAAATAAAGGCTTAGCTGCAATGAAAGGACCTAGGTTGCGGAATCCCTCACTCCCAATACGACGGACTATGTCTGTCATAAGTGGTACTGGAATGTAGATCATTATTGAGGAGGTTTTTGCAGACACAAGGTGGTAGAGGAATAAAAAAACTCAGATAGAGTTTACACAACTTTAACTTATATAAGTTGAAGTATAAAAGCCCTAAATATGCACACTGTGCGCATAGCAGATTAAATTCTTTTATCTTGGCGCTAGGGATCCCTTACGGTCTCTAAAGGTACACTCTGCGCTTCCGCTCCTCATCACTTTTCTATCCTTCTTTTGTTATAAGTTGACGAATAATAAATGTATAGTTGTTTATTTGTTCTAGTAAATGTCTTATTAACCGTTTGGATTCTGCTGCATTGAACCGATGCATAGATCCTCTTTCCTGCTATCCCCAGCCCCAGTTATTCCTACTTGACTCGGCGAATGGTCTGGATGTGGACAAATAAGCTCTGCGAGTGATATAATGAAGTCATTTCTTTTGAGTATATGCAACGGTTATTGCATAGAGAAGAAGTCAACGTAACAAAAAAAAAATAGGTAGGACCGTCGTTGCCTCAGGCGACTTGTCGCATAATAAGTTGATAACTATAGAGTATTATAGAAATACAGGAAATAAAAAAGTAGCAGAGAAATGCCAAGGCTAAAGCAATTTGATCGCGGACACTGGTAGCAGAGTTCAATATATTTGATTTATACCTTTGCTGTATCTCGGCTTTTTGGAGAGCGATATGTAATGTCATATGCGCAGATGTTCTGCCGACACAAAATTTCTACCAAACAAAGAAAGGCAGCGTTTCATACTAGAAATAAGATCTAAACATACAAATGAACTCTAGTGATTACTTACTTTCCTAGTTGTAAAATTGAATTAAGTGGCTAAACGTTTAATTCTGAGTGTTTTATGCATCCATCTCCGCCATAACAATACAATAGGTTTCTAAACAATACAAATAGCTAGGCTTAATAATGTTCTTTCTTATTAAGTTTAATAACAACAATACATTAGGTTTGTAAACATTGCAATAGCTAGATTTGTAAAATTACAAATGGTGAAAGTTCATCCTCATGCGAACTACACAATACATTCATATACTTTAAAACTCACGTTGTTAATATTAACCAAATTAAGACGAAAAAGTTACAACAATCTACGTTTAAAACATATGAATATGTAAAACATTCCGAATTACATTGTTAGCGACTTCAATCAATCGTACAACTAGAAATATAAATTTTCGGGGTACGTAATACTAATCTTACTGGGATACAGCAAAAGTAGAACTATGTGGAACTTGGGTATAACTACTCTCTTGTGTATAACTATGTGTAAATTGGCGGCGCACCTGCGAAGAAAAAACGGCGTACAAGAGGGAAAAAACGGCGCACGCGAGGAACAGAATTGAGCAGAAAATTCAAAATTCACCCGAATCTTTTTTGGGTTTCCCATATAATCGAGTAAAAAAACTAATGAATAACTTAGTGCGGTGCAGGAATAAACCCACAGACGTCGTTTTGGTATAAGTGAAAAATGAGTAATTATTGTTTAAAAAAAAAGTAAAAAAAAGGCTAAACATAAATCATTTTGTGCCATTATCCAATGTCATTGTAAGAGTCCATGAATACTAGTAATTCACAAGTGACGGACATAATATCATTCGGAGTAACATTTTTTTGAATACACAAAACTGATAAGAGAATCGGAATATGTAAGCCGTGTGGTCAGTACTCATTGGATTGCAAAACAGAGTATCATTAAAAATAGTCATTTAAAAAGGCAACTACAGATAAAAATCCACAAGTCATAATATCCGAATGCCATTATCGAATGTCATTGTTAGAGTCTATGAATACAAAAAGGTCGACGATACCCCAAAGGGTGGTATTTATATCCACAAGGTCGAATTCCTTTCCAATGAAGAGATTTAATTCCGTCCTCTTTTCCGAAGCAGAAAAGGAAAACATTAATACCAATATTTCCTTTTTCGCTTCGAATGAAGGAAAAAGAAATCTTCGACCAAGCATTAAATGTGCAAATAAAAATTAAAAATTAAAAGTTAAAAACCGCCCCAAATGTGGGCCCACGGTTGAATTCAGGTTCAAAGACAGACTACCCCAAAAAAGGGTCCACGGTTTAGAAGCAAAAGGAGTTCAAAAAAATAAATACAGCAAAAGGAAAAACAACACCACGAGATAAGGAGGAGCGAAGTTCGCTAATTTCCAGGGTTTCGCTCCTCAACAGTGACATGTCGAATGTCGCTTCGGCTAACGAGTTCGGAGTTTTAGCCATGCTGATTTGAAACAGGAATGACCTGAGAAGATAGCCGAGTAAGCCCGAAACCGAGCTGGTCAGGAGACAAGTTGAGGTCAGCATCTAAGAGCTCAATAACATTCAGAGCATCAACCTCCTCTTCGGCAATCCTGGCTTCTTTGGCCAGATTCTCCAGCTCAGATTCCGAAACAACGGCACCTCGGCGGACAAGGACTGTCACAATCTCCTGAGCGCCCTTAGACTGATTCAGGGCATCCATTTTGGGCTGGACAATATGCTCTTGCTCCTTTATATAGCTCTTGACCTTATCAAGGCGAGCCTGAGCTTTTTGAGTGGTGCGGCTGACCTTGGCAAATCGGTCGCTTCGCAACCTGGTCAGCTCTCTCTCCTCATGGTCTCTGGAGAATGCCACATCAGTTTCCAATTTGGCGACCTCCCCCATGAGCGAAATCTCCCGATCTCCGAGCCTGACAACCTCCCCGGCATGTTCAGCCTCACGCATACCAAGTCTGGCGACCTCATCTTTAAGAGAGGCGACTTCACCTGAGTGGGTTTCAGACTCCGCCTTCAGGAGAGCATACTTCTTTTTGAGCTCCTCGTGGTCGCGCTTCTCTTGCTCAAAGACCGAGCTCAGCAGCCTAAAATTGTCCCTGTTCCCGTACTTCCGCTTAAGTTTCCGGTCATACCAAGCAATCAGGTCATTAGACAGTGCGTTGGTCTGAAACATAGAGGTCGCAATAAGAGAAGCTCCCCTGCTAGTCTTCACCTTTTCTTCCACTACTTTCCATTCAACAATCTTATCCAAAAAATGAAGTAATTCAGACACTTGGAACCCAAAAGAAGGCCAAGCCTTTGGTCTGGAGAAGGCTGCCAACAAATCGCCTGGCTCAAAAGCAAAAAGCACCTTAGAGATCTGATGACTATGCATACTTTCAATAGCCCAAATGACACTCTTTAGTATCACCTCATTTCTGTTATGCAAATTGTTGGTGCAGGAATTAGCACCTCCGACAATACCGGCTTAAACCGGACGAATTACGAATTAAATTGAGAATTCAATGTAAACTGGGAAATCCCGATTTAGCCCGTTAATAGGCTAAAAAGGGAGATCGCCAGGCGAGCTCGACTCAAAGACGGGAGGTCGCCTGCAACCGACTTCCTCATTCAAGAAAAAGGAGATTTCCTAGAAGAAAAAGGAGAATCTCGGGAAAATCGGAAGATAAAGCCTTGAAGATTTAGAAGATTAACATATCTCGAAACCGCCCTAAACATGTATAAATAGAGGGGTTTGTCCTCTATTCAAAGGATCCGCAACTTTGCACAAAAACCCTAATTGTTCTTGAGCTAAACCCTAGCGTTGTCTCTAAGCAATAAAATTCACCCTATATTCGAGTTTTTGATCTTTAATAGCAAGAGAGTTAATTGAATTTGTTTTCCTTCCTTAAACAAATTCATTGTGTGATTTTCAGAATCAACACAAATCACTCAAATCTTGTTAGGTATTAACTACCAAAATGTTTTTGAGAAAATTGTTAAAAAATAAGTTTGATCTTGTTAGGTACTAACAAAGTTCTGGGTCAATATTCTCGTGCCGTTAATTCTATTTGAGTATCTACGTCGATGATGTCTGCAGTTACTCCATATGATTTTATCGAAGCCGACATTTCCGCGGCGAGCTTCTGCCTGATTTTTCCCATATTTTCATCGCGCAGATGTTCATGAGAAAGCGGAACTCCCATCATCAAACACTCAATGTATTTGGCGGTATATACTCCGCAATCAACGGGATGCGTCATTTTAGGGGTTCCAGGCACATCTTCGATCTCATAAGGTTTAATGTTGGAGTCACCGCAAAGACATTTAAATACGTACGGAGTAATCTCTGCAAAAGGCTTCACTGCAGATATTGTAATGTCCGTAGTCGTCCCGCAGTTATATATTCTGACAACCCTATCTTTGAAGTCGATGGCAATCGCAACCCAATGATCATCTGTGACGGAAACGACAGCGTAAACCTTATCCACATCTTTTCCACAAGTTTTTTTTGTTCCGGCGTACTTTGGCATGAGACCGCTGAAGTATTCGGACGTTTTAAAGGGCAATTTTGTCTTATCCGTCAACCATCTCTCGTACTCTATTTGCCATATCAGTTGAAAATGAAGGTCCATTATGGCAATTCTCTGAGATATGAAAGCATGAGGATTATTCTTCAGTCTTATTCGATACATGCTCATTATAGTAGCGATGCTCTGAAAAACGAAGGAAAATATTAGACTCTCCGCAAACGCTGAATGACAAACAAAACATTTCCAGACTTTCCGCAGATGATACACTCACAACATCATACATCGAGTCCTTAGGCGTGAGAAGGACATTGAAAAACCGATCCACGCGGTTCCCGCTCCCAGGTGGATATTTTTTCCCACAGGATATCTAGGGAAAAACCTAGGATTAGTTTATGATCGCAGAGTTTAAGAAAATAAAAATCATATATTTAAATAATCCTAATCCGGTCTCGGAATTTACTCTTTTATGAACTTGTTCATCTCTTCCACCAACGTTTCGTCAACTTCTCCAAATACCATTGTCTCACGATCAGTGTGGGTCAAAAGTTTCTCTGTCGTGTCTAATCCCACCGATGACCTACGGAACAACATTTTTAGCTGCCCGCTGAGTTTTAAGAAAATAATTATCATATATTCATAGAAGAAAGTTCTCGGTATTTACCTGTCAATGGGGTCGTGTAATGCTTCAGAAATAGTTACGTCTAAATCTCCTAACACAATTGTCTCGCAATCTGTGAAGCATATTTTATCAACTGATGTGTTTTCGATATGCCTCTTTTCTTTTTATGCCAGGACTAACCCAATTTTGACCCGAATCTTCTTCTTCCTCACCTGATATTTGACCCGACTGAGACCCGAGGTTTTCTTCACCCAGAGCATGTGTTCTGTGAGTCAGCCACATCAGCCCATGAATTTGTCAATCCAAGCGAAAAAGTTGAGATAAATAGCTATTTTGACCTCGGTGGTTATTACCCAGGCATGCCGTTGAAAAAAACGGCGAGGATAAGCTTCATCGTATTCATTCAACTCACCACCGTCATCTACATAAATAAGAGAAATCCAATTTAAACGATTCAAAATCTCGGAAAATAAATATGAATTCGATGAGGCAGCATCAAAACCTTCCTAAATCAAATTAAAATTACATTGACAAAAATTTTCAAGACACAAAACTTAATCTAGGCAAGTGATAGGGGAAATATTACCTTCCCTGCAAGCTACGATGGGAAACAATTTTGTACATCGACCTAGGCAGACACAAAAATTACACTCTTATCTTTCATCAAACGCTCTTGTTTTAGCCAACATTTCTGCAGCGAGCTTTTTCCTGATCTTTCCCATATTTGAATTGCACAGCTGGGTAGATGTAAACGATACTCCTATCATCAAACACTCAAGGTATTTGAGTGTATATACTCCGCAGTCGCCAAAAGGTTTGTCCATTCTGGGGACTCCTTCAGTAATACATTCGATACAATACCTGGTTGTATCATAATTACTCTCCAAGGCGTTAATCGCGGATGGAATCATATCCGCAAAAATAGTCGCCTATTCGATATTCTTTTCATCCTGCGACTTCAAACTGTCGTATATTCTGAGAACACGTTCCTGCAAAGAAATGACCATCGCAACCCAATGATCTTCGTTTATGTTGAGAGGAGAGTACAACGTGTCCACATCTCTCACCCACGTTTTTTTAATTGCAGCATACTCTGGAACATTACCGTACTGGTAGTTATGTGAAAATCCAAGAAACTTATATTCGACCCTATCGGCGGCCCATGGCTTGTACCTGGATTTGAATAGTTTGGGAAACGATGTGTCCAAAATAGTGATCCTATCTGATTTAAAAACTTCTGGGTTTTGCTTTAGCCTTAGCCTATACATGTCCAGTATGGCGTCCAAATGCTGAAAAATAAGGAAACAAATTAGATTACGCTGCGGACTATATGCGACGTGTACAAAATATCTGAAGCCCAAAAATACTTATGTTTTAAGAGACACAAACAAACTCGCTAATAAGAATGATAATGATTTTATAGAAGGAGTGTACTTACATAACAACCCAACCAAGCAATTGGTGTCAGCCACTGTTTAAAGAATTGTGATGCCGGGTCCGGCCCTCCTCTATATTGAGCATTACCTCTGCTGAAGCAAATAACTTTCAAGTTATATACGGATTCTGTACAAAGAAATATCGAACTCGTGTGTGATAGGATATCGGTAACTAAGTGATCTTCAACTTCTCCATATACAATATCATGACAATCTACGGATTCACTTTTCTTACAAGCAGAGTTTGGTTGTCTCTCTGCTTCTAATCTTTTCCGTATACGGACTAAAAGCAGAGTCTTCAATTGGAAGGTCGTATATGTATAATTCATCACCAATGTCACTAACACTTCCTTTTCCTTGTATACTTTCTAATCCCGCAATGATTCTGATACTGAAATCTGAATTCTCTGACTTTTCACCATCAGCCATCTCCCAATTATTTTCTGTTTTTTCATCTTCGATATATGAATAAGCTCCACCAGAGTTTCCTGCAACTCCTTGCACACTATCAACCAACACGACATCTCCATCAGCTCCATCTACCTCTCCTACCTCACTAGCGGCATCAACAGCATTCGAATAACCCAAGCCTTCAGAACAAACCTTCTGGGGCCGTTCTCCTTCTACGTTCAAAAGCTACATTAAAAGGAAAACAGAGTATATGTTATTGTTATTGTTATAACACATTAAATGAAGATCTTTATCCCCCAGTGACTTTTGTTTACCCGATGATTGACGTTTCCTTTGCCTTTGGTGTTAGCGAGTCCAGAAGCATTATCCACGGCTGCAGGAAGCTTGCCCACTATCAATTTTGCGATGAGATTTGAAAATTTGTTCAATGTAGTAACAAATTGCTGTTGCAGGTCTAAGTTAACTTGTTGATGCGTCATGATTAATTCTTGCTGTTTCATGAATGTATCGTGCTGCTTCTTGCAGTCTTCTTGCTGTTTCAGGGCGGCTTCATCTATTCGACTGAACATGGACTCACACATTTCAGTCTGTTTAAAAGCGAGTTCAATCATCAATCTAACTAGTTTAGTGGTTTCTGTGGTCTGCTTAGGACACGTCACTCCAAATTGCGTGTTCGTCGTCCGTATAGGTTGGTAAATTCCTTCTTTTGCTTCTTCTTCTTCTTCTTCTTCTTCTTCTTCTTCTTCTTCTTCTTCTTCTTCTTCTTCTTCTTCTTCTTCTTCTTCTTCTTCTTCTTCTTCTTCTTCTTCTTCTTCTTCTTCTTCTTCTTCTTCTTCTTCTTCTTCTTCTTCTTCTTCTTCTCTGCATAAATAGCTCGTAAATTCAACGTCTTCATTTAGTACAAAAACCTTCCTCTTCTTCGTAGTTCCTCTTCCTTCTAGTGTGTTTTCGGCAAAGGTCCATTGTATGTCAGCCAGGGGAGCGTCGGAGATAAGATGATTAACGAGACTATCAATTTTCGGATCCTTGTTTATCTCCGTCCGCCATGTCGGATGCTTTTCTCTTTGGGATCTACCACACATACATGTGACAACCACCGATTCACGTGAGAAGGCTGTCTCCGTCCGTTTGTTGCCAAATCCACCTTTGAATCTAAGAAGCTTTGGGCGATCTACCGCGAACGGCAGAGGATTACCCAAACATCTTCCCACGGAGGGAATGTAATTATACGCCAATATCTGCAAAACTTGTACAAAGCCATAAACAACATAACTTTGGTTGAATATCTTGGCTGCAGTTACGAGTTTAACTTGCGATATAAGATCACGGAAAGCACGCCTCCCCAAGGATATTGTTCGAAACTATACAAATTCACCACCAATCGGTATAGGTCCACTGGGATAGGCCCATTTTCTGCCAACAGACCGTTAGACAGGATGGCTAGATAACAAAGCCTAACCCTATCATCCTCAGACCACTTCCTTATCTCTGAAGCATAATTCTGACACAAGTTTTCTATATCCACTCTGCACGGGCTCAGACATTTTTCCGGGAGCTTAAAAAGACGATGGAAGCGCATATGATCCTCAGTTTGTTCGAAATGAATCTCAAGCGGTAGGTCATCGCAGTTCAGAGCTGTGATATCTTCAAACTCGAAAAGCGAGAACCGCGCTGGCTGCCCCTGATCAAAAACCACAACTCATGTGCCTTTCCGCAAACCAGTTGGTTGCTAAGCATGTACCGATGCACCAAATTACCATTCCAGTTGAAGTTCAACTGCCTAAAGGTTGCTACAACTCCGAGTGGGGAGTTAAGAACACGGGTCCACGCATCCGCACCAACTGCGGCTTGCACAATTGGTAAGCCGCTGAAATCAGCTTTGTGCTTTGTTTTACCCTTAGGATTTGGCATGTTTCAATTAGAAAACATTATATGAGGAAAATCCATGGTGTAGCGAAGAAATCAAAAACCCCAAATAGGAAAAAAATTAGACTCATGACTCAGATTGAAGCAAATCAAGACGCATAATACAAAGAAAATCAAGAACTCGAGACACTCAACCCTGGTAGTCTGTTTTGTGGAATCCAGTTAGACTTTGAAAAAGGGGAAATTTGGCTAGAAAAGGATGTCTACTATTTTCAGCAAATACTGCTCCCTTTTAAACAACACAAAACTAATTAATCGTTTTTGGAATCCCATAGATTCTAACAAAGTTTAACGCAGTCTTGACGCAGACACTGCGAAAAGCACAAATGTTTTAATTTGCTTTTTACATACGGGAAGATGGTTATTCTGTTGTTGACTTATATTTTTCTGAATCTGCTCATTGGATTTATGAAAAAACCTATCTTACCCTCTGATCTGATGGAATTGATTAAAATTTTTGGTTAGGGTTAAACACTTGTAGTCTATATCATTAGGCTTCACTCAATTAGGAGGATGTGGCGCCTTTCGGTTGGCTCCTTCAGAAGCGACCATTTGTCATCGTTTTGAATATATGACATTTTCATAATGAAATGTTAAATGCTATCTCGGGTGTCGTATCGGATTATAATATTCACATTAGAAACTAATTACGACACTTCGAATTATCAAATATTTTAAGCGTTTATATTCCAATGTTTTACGCCTTAGATCTTAAATATATACTACTGTTTTAATCCATGTCAATCTGCGAGTGGTATCTTATTATTTTAAGGCTCCGTTATCTTAGATTTGTTGTATAGATTTTCAGCTGAAGTAACATATATTAGGTTGGCTACTTTAACTATAAGACTAATACATGCGGATTGAAGTCTTTGTGGTGCAGATGCGAGATGATATCAAATGTACTTGTTCATTGTATATGATCAGTGGGATCCCGTGTAGCCACATTGTCTCTTGTTTAAGATCAAGACCCTAAGAAGTTGATATCTTCATGGTTCACTACAGGGAAGTTGAAGACATGCTATGCTGATGGTCTTTGTGGTGTGAATGGAATGAATTTATGGGAGGTGACTACAAATGTTAGAGTCAAACCGCCTTTTTAGACCAAAATGTCTAAAAGAGGAACCAAAAGAATATAATACTATTTCTAACTTTCATATTCGTTGATTGTTGTGTCTCTGATATTGTTGTTACCTTTTTATGCAGCCTTGTGGCATATGTGGACAGGAAGGGCACAACAAGCTGAAATGCAAGAATGCACCAATACAAAACCAACACACATCGCAGACCAACATGTAAACATAACTCACACAAACATAAAAAATACAAATCATATTACAGACAACACACATTGAACATCTTTTCAAAGACAATGAAAATTAAAATATCTTCATCCGCATACTACTAAAGAGAAAGAGTCTTCTAAACAAAGTGTAATAATCTACATAAACAAGTAGATTATTATTGCTATCAAAACAAAAACCGCGACAAACACATTCTTCAATTCCAAAGATAAGCCGTCGCTTTTCTTTGCAATCATCGCCCTAAGCCTAGCAAACTCCATCTTATTTTCATCGTGGAGATCATAAATGTGAAGAATCTCATGTCTATGCCTTTCAAGAGTCTCACGCATTTTATGCAATGGAGGATACCCATTCACGTCGATCCTTAGCTTGGTTAATTCCTCAATCATAGCCTCATCCCACCATTTCCATATGTGACATTTTCCATCCTTAATTCAAACCAAAATTTAACAAAAATATAACAAAAAATTGGCATCGAAATTCAACAAAAATATTTACACAAATCAACAAAATACTTACATTGAAATTCTGACATGTGTAGAATAGTCTTTCTGGGTTTGCCGTTGTCCGAGAAGGTTCAAGCCGTGCTCTTCCACCACAAAAACAATGAGTAGGAATCCCATAGGCATATTCACCATAGTCACGTCGATCCGCAGGTGAAGTTGAGCTGGAGCTATCCGACATTTTCCAAGGAGATAGAAAAGAAATAGAAAAGAAGAATCTCCCAATTTAAGATGAAAAAAGAAGAAGATCGATTCCATTCAAACAATGAACCCTAAATCGATTTTTTATTCTGTAAAACAACACAATTTTCTCACAAGTTGTCGTTTTGGACATAACAAAAACGGTATCGTTTTGACGTCTGTGAAGTTTTAAAACGGAGTTAAGTAGTGCCAAGTCATCGATATGTAGAAGGGTTATACTGCGGGTTACTTTTGACATCATAGTATTGACCTGCATTTATTTGACTTGGAAGTTTATCTTGCAAAACAATTTTACTTGGACGGTTTTTTCGCACAAAACACGTTTGATGTTGAATTCAAGATTTTGTACAGTTTTTCCAGAGACAAGGTAACGTGAGAAGCCTATGTAAACATGCTTACATACGATTTGATTGACAAAAGTATATGCAGTTCAAGATGTATACGGTGTGCGACTATATAAGTAGGCCGAACCACAAAACTATAAAAGTCACACCCAACCGCATAGGTCCATAGAGTATTTGGGGCCATGAACTACTATAAATCCAAATAAGTTAAAACTTAGTGATTTCTGTAGTTCATTTGTCAGATAAAGGGTTCATCTGATAAAACTTTATCCGGCATTAACGATGACGGACATTATAACTGCACACCTCAGCCTTTTAAAGTCGCATAGTTGTAGCTGGAGGAAAACACGAATGACAGTTTGAAAGAGGATCAAACATCAATATTCGTAATGAAAAGTATGTTGATAACAAGAGATTTTAAGTTTAATGAACAGAAACGAACTTCAAAGATGAAAAACATAAAAGCTAGGTTTAAGTTTCATGGTAGAGATACAACGAAAAAAAAACAACGAGACAACAACAATTTCAATACGCCTACTCGCGATGACCCTCTTCGTCATTATCTCCATCATCACCAGACACCTCTTCTACCTCATTTACTTTATCGGTCTAAGATATCCGGATAACAATTATATCCGGATAACAATACATGAACTATTATATCCGGATAACAATACATGAACTATCCGGGTGGTATACTTGAACTATTATATCCGGATAACAATACATGAACTAAGAGTCTAAGAGCAGCGGAGACATAGAGAGAAGACTAGGAAAACTTACCTACAAAACGAAGCTGTATGCGTTTCGCAAGCCTACACAACTTTTGAAGATCTGCTGCAAGAGAGACAGAAGGCTCACCAGCGAGATCATCCTCCGTAGACAAAATGCAAGAGAGAGGAGGCTGCCGCCGAGGTGAGTGACCAGACGAGCCGGATGCTTTTGATTTTCCTTTGGAGGGAGAAACAGGGAATGCAGTTTTTGGTTTCTTATGGCATGATACAACGTGTTTGGTTTTGGGTTTAGGGTGAACTACGGGCAAAGATTTCTCAGCATAACGAGTTCCAGATCCAGATCCAGATCCTGATCCATATCCGGTAGACGAAACGTGATGGTTAAGATGTAAGTCGTATGCAAAAGAAGAGTTGAAATAAATTGTTTGCAAAGTTACTTAGGGGTCGGCTGACAATTATTCCCTTGAGAATTATGGAACAAGTTACTGATGAACTATTTATTCAACTGGGTTGTATAGTTTTTTTTTTTTTTTTTTGTTTTTTTTTTTTTGGGTTGTATAGATGGGCACTACTGGCCAACCATGCTGGCGAACTGTGAGGCCTATGCGGCGAAGTGCGAACCATGTCAACGGCACGGACCGATGAAGAATGTCTCCCCAGAAATGCCGAGCGCAATAACAGCACCATACCCATTCATGCGATGGGCTATGGACATTGTAGGACCGTTGCCTCCTTCGCGCTCCAAGAAGTTCTTGCTGGTCCTAACAGACTATTTTACTAAGTGGGTTGAAGCGGAAGCATACCACGAAGTAAAATCGCCCCAGGTCGTCGCGTTTATCTGGAAAAACATCATATGCCGGCACGGCCTACGTTACGAGATCGTAACGGATAACGGGACCCAGTCGTTAGTGCTTCTGTTAGCAAAATTAACAGTCGTTAACTCGGGGGTACGATTTTACCAATTTTTAAAAAACGAAGGTTTTAAAAGGCAACCAAAATTAAATGAGGTATTTTTATTCCAAATTTGATACTACACGTATTAAACGGCCAAAACAAAATTAGATGGCGGTTTTTTCGGGTTTTTTCCCCTTTTTCTTTTGTCAATCTTTTTGAAAAGTATTCCGCAATAATAATAATAAACTATTATCGCAAAGAACTTCTCTTGGTCAGGCTGAACGAAGTGGAAAACAACGCATTAGTAAAAAATTGCGCGTAGGACGCAACTTCTTCAAATAAACTCTCCATTTTCTCCTAAGAAAAGATAATTAGCATCCATACTAATCTTCACATTCATACTAGTATATATAAAAATATCTTTCTAGCTCCACCACAGGTATTATCCTTTGATGTGTTCGATCGATTTTTGTGCACGAAAATGGGTAGGAAAAAGTTCACAAAGAGGAGAAAGTTTGCTCATGATGGTGAAGATGGAGAAGGTTCGGATCCCGCGTCCACACATGTTAAGGTGAATGAAGCTCTAACGAATGAAGACTTGTATAGGGAAGTTCGAACGAGTGTAGAGGACGAAATAGCTCCGGTTGGTAATGGTGAGGGATATGGTGTGGAAGTCGCAAGATTATCCGAAGAAGTAGATGAGATCGACGGATCTCCGGGTCTCAATGGTGAGGGAAATGAAGAAGTCGGACCGAGTGCAGGAGAAGGAGACACGGACTTGGGAAGAAGTCCAACCGACCACATCGACGAAATGGTAAGTAGAAAGAATTTAGATTCGATTGAAAAGGTTGGAACTAGGGAAAACTAATTAGTTTGGATGAAATGGTAATTAGTCTAGTGAATGGATTCGATTTATATTTAATAACTTGGTAAAACTGGTTCTTGCAGGATACCGAGGAGGAACCGATAGCACCACTAAAACCTCTACGCATGCAATTCGCGCCGGCGGAGTATAACAAGAGAACTAAGTTATCGACGAGGTGTTATTTGGCCGATGTTTTCGAGACACTAGAAGCGTTGAAACATCCGCTCAACGATTTTGAGCGGTGAGAACCATCCGCAGTTCAAACACATTTTCCACATGGCAAGGCACCGTAACCACATGGTTATGAGCATGTGGATGCTTCTGCTTCGAACGGCATGCATTGAAAAGAAAAAGGAAGCTTGGTTCGTCCTAAATGGCGCTCCCATCCGCTATGGAATAGAGGAACACGCCTTGATATCAGGATTAGACTGCCGCAACTATCCACTCGATTATAAGAAATCGGGAAGTATGGACCTTGTGAATAGGCATTTTAAGATGAAGGTAATTAGACGTGCGGACGTGAAACAAAAGCTTCTGGAAATGGATCCAACGTCCCTTCCTAGAGATAGGTTGAAGATTGCGGTCCTCTTCTTCTTATCCAGCATTGTTGTAGCGCCGACAAAGACTGGAAAAGACGCAACTAAAGTTAAAAAGTTCTTTCAACGGGCGGTGAATGATCGGAATTTTTGTACGACGTTTCCTTGGGGAAGATATTCATTTAATCACATGCTAGGATCGATATCACACACGATGGATCACTTTGGAGGGATCGTCAAGGAGGGTGTAATATGGCCGGTTCCAGGTTTCTGTCTTCCATTGGAGGTAAGTGAAAATTAGTAGAGGTTAATAGTTATTATAACATATTTCAAGAATTATCTCTAATTATATGTGCGTTGTGTAGCTTTTAGCTTTTGAAGCAATTCCGGAATTGGGGGCTAAATTCCTAGAAGAAGTTCATGCCGTAGACTTAGAATGTCCTAGGATGTGCAAGACAAAGTTCAAGAAATGTAATATGAAAGGCTTTCCTCTCTCGGAAATCTATGAGGAACTTGGTAAAACTAAGGTTAGTTATCTCATATGCGTACATTTTGAGTTATTTTTTTATGTGTTAAATTAATTGTTTGCATCCACAGGAAATTGATAATATACTGGAAGCTCGAGATGAAGACGAAAAATCTCTCCTAGCGTTTATCACCGAAAAAGATGACGACGTTGATAAGCATGATGTCGTTGTTGAGAGTTGGATGAAGTGTATTCATAAAGGATATACCGTATTGTTTGAAGAGATGTACAACGATGATGTGCAGAGCCGACTTGGAGAAGAAAAAGCCGCCAATGAAGGAACGGGAAACACGAGTGTAGCTGATTCGGTGGATTTGGTTGATCAGGTAAAAAACATGAAATCTGAAATGGCTGAAATGATGAATTCAATTGTGGACATGATTATAGGGTTAGGCAAACGAATGGGACGCATGGAAGATTTTATGAATGAGAAAGTTCATGAGAAGGCAAGGGTAAGATTTTGTAATTCATAAAACTTAAGATTTTGATACATCGTAATTTTAAAAACATTAAACAAATAGAAAGCTTATAACAGACTTTCGAAATTATAATTTACAAAGAATAGGTTCCTTTAGAGACACCGACTTTGATAATGGAGATCCAGGCAGGTGAGAAGAGTCTCCGGTAAAACCAAAGAGTTTTGAATGTGTTGTTGGTCCAATGTTTAACGACTTTCATAAGCTGAGTTTAGAAGTTAGCTTTCCGCTTGGTCAGACATAAATAGTGCGCAGGTCTGACCAAGCGCTTGGTCAGACATAACTAGTGCGCAGGTCTGACCAACCGCAAAGTTAACTTCTTAACTCAGCTTATCGAAGTCGTTAAACATTGGACTAACAACACATTCAGAACTCTTTGGTTTTGCCTGGATCTCCATTATCAAAGTCGTTGTCTTTAAAGGCGATGGAGACACGAAGAAAGCTCAGGTAGCATCTGTTTCCATGTCACTTGGGTCTGGGCTTCCTACAAATAGAAGAAATAGTGTTAGTATGCAATTCCATTTATTTAATGCAATTCCAAAGAAGGTTTAAATGAACTCACCGTAAGTTTAGTGGAAACCCAATTCTGGCAGCACTGTAATACTTACAGTGTCTATAGTTACCAATGGACAAACAACAGAAGGGGCATCTGTGGTTCGGTTCATAACTTGAGAATCTATATGATTCGAAGAAAAATAAAGTAGATCGATTTCAGGATTCTTCGAATAAACGAGAGCATGTTTGAAACGAGATGAGGAAAGGAAGCACACCATTGCTATTAAAGATTGCCATGGGGGCCTTCTGGATTTATAGAAAGTATGCGAAATGAAGTTTTTAGCAGAAGAAAACATTTAATATTAATTAAAAAAAAAACATTTAATATTCATTGGAAGGTCGCCAGTACAAATAGTAATAAAGATATGACAACCCCTCGGCCCCTGACGAGCCAACCGTAAGGATCCACGTCCTCATAATGTATCAATTTAAATGTCTAAAAGTCCTGTCAAATGCATTAACTTCGTTACAGATTACAGTAGAGCATTCTGCATTTATAGAAAGGATGCGAAACGAAGCTCTTAACAGAAGAAAACATTTAATATTTCATTGGATGGTCAAAATAACAAATAGTAATAGAGATAGGACAACTCGGCGCCGCTTGACGAACCAATCGTAAGGCGACACGTCCTCATATTGAAGCATTTTCTTGAAAAAGAATTGTCAAATTCATTAAATATTGTGGATTTTCCAATTCGAAGATGGTCGACAGATATCAAGAAGGCAATGAAATATTTGGGACTCCATCGACAAAAAGAGCCCTTTTCCATTCCAACTTACTAGTATCAACCTTCATTTGAACATGGAACTTTAAGAAGCATCGGTAAACTGCATCTCGTACATATCTGCTGCCTAATAGGTTGTTCTTTATGCCCATGAATACACTGAAGGCAACAAAGGTTGTTGATAATTAGCGTCTTGTTCTACTTCAATACTAAAATAATCATGTACTATGTTTATCCACACCTAAAATCTGAACTTAAGATATTCATCGCCATTTCAAATCAACTAAAGTCCTACTGATTCACATAACATCTAAAATGACAAAACGGTAAAGGGATTACCTCGAGAAAAGGTCTGGCGAGATCACACACAGGATTGCCGCTTTGAGATATCCCAACTGGTGAGGGTCCGCCTCCGTCCATGCCGGAGGAAAAATTATCAGATGGACCCTTTATCTGATAAATGAACTACAGAAAGCCCTAATTATCTATTGTTTGGATTTATAGTAGTATACTCCATGGCCCCAAATACTTTATGACCCTATTTCTGAAGATGGAAGAGCAGATAGAGACCTCGATTATGTTCTCCGCATGTTCGTCCCCATCCATCTGGCAGATTCAAAATATATTAGGCAGAGTTAAGCTATAGCCTGCTAGAATACCAATGATAAGAACACGGCAGATCCGGATCTAGCATCTAATCGGTCAATCAGCTTTTTGGGGTTCTATTCTTCTCATTGAATTAGTATCTTTATGCACACATTGAAATTACGGGTACATCCTCAACTATGAAACTAACGATAGACGAAACATTATTTCGAACCCTATATAGTTCCGCCGTAACCCTGTGTCTTGATAGTTCTCCGATATCGCTATTTCTAATCGCAAGTTCTTATCTTCCCCAACCGATAATCACGGCGTACTTCGTATAAAATACAGTGTTGTACGCATCCTTCGCTTTTAGTAACAAAACTCGTACACATTCGGGAAGACGGTTTTCGCTGTCGATTGAATATGCATTTGTTGGCTGTTTTTGGAAAATGGAAGGCAGGGACGAAGTTGGAGTTCAACGTCGATTCAAGTAAAGGAAGCAAGTTGTTTATTGTTGACGAACAAGTCAAGTATGAGGAATTTCTCCGCATTATTATTGAAGATTTCAACTGGATACGCAACAAAATTCACTCGAGCTTTCTTATATGTTGCCAAAACATATGATGGAGAAACTGCCTTCCGACACACCTCCGGTCATCGTGGAAAACGATAGACAGCTTGCACACTTAATCACATTGTCAAAAGCGGAGACAATCCGTCTTTATGTTGCATTGCAAACAATCAGTTGTCGTCGTGACACTGCTGAACCTACGGAAGTAAGAGACATCGGGTTTGTGGATTTTAATAATATGGGTACAGATTATAACAGAGGCTGTTTTCACTCTGCGACGGCCCGCCTCTCCCCTGCAATGCCGATGAAATCCCCACGGTGCCTTTGCCAATGATGAAATGTGGAAGTATTAAGGTTGGCGATATTTTTGTTGACAAGAAAGCATTAATTCGTAAACTTCAAAAGATTTCAGTCTTTCAAAAGTTTGATTTCGATATCAAAACGTCGCGTCCGACGTGTTTTGTTGCGAAATGTTTTGTTCCTAATTGTACGTGGAGGATTCGTGCGTCACCCTTGTCAGGTACAGGTAAAGAATCCTCTACGGAGTTTAGCGTAAGGATATTTACAGAACTTCATACATGCTCTGCTACCGATAGGTATTCTCGTCACCGACAGGCTGATGCGAAATGTATTGGGAAATTATATGTTGATTTCGCTAGATGTGGCAGTGATCTAAAACAAATCAAGCCTTTCCATATAAGGCAGTGGATGAAGTCAGCACGTGGTGTCGACACCGGCTACACGAAAGCGCACAGTGCGTTGGCATATGCACGAGAGATTGTCAGAGGCACTGCTCGTGCTGGTTATTCGGACTTACCTGCCTATCTGTACAAAATAAAGATAGCCAATCCAGGTACGATTACAAAGCTCGAACGTGACGCGAAGGATCAGTTTAAATATATGTTCATTGCTTTTGGTGCTTGTATCAAAGGATTTGAGTTCTTGCGGAGAATTGTCGTCGTAGATGGAGCTCATCTAACTGGGAAGTTCAGAGGGGTTATGCTAGTCGCGGCAGGACAAGATGCAAATGGGCAAATCTTTCCTATAGCATTTGGTATTGTAGATTCAGAGAATGATTATTCATGGGAATGGTTTTTCAAGCAGTTGCGTGGTGTGATAATTGATGATAATAATTTGGCCATCATTTATGACCGTAATGGATCAATTCCCAAAGCCATTTCGAAGGTTTTCTCCAATGCTAATTGGGGAGTATGTTTCTATCACCTCAAAAATAATTTGGTCGCAAATTTCAAAAGGAAAGCAATGATAAATGTGGTAACAAAGGCTGCATATGCATATCGACTAACAGAATTTGAAAGCCATTTTGCTGTGATTCGTCGGCATAACAGCGATTTGGCAAATTACTTGGTGAAAGCCGATTTTTGATTTTGGGCTGCTGCACATTTTCCTGGTGATAGATTTGGTGTAATGACGAGCAATATTGCAGAGTCCATTAATGGCCGTCTCAAGGATGACAGATCATTTCCTATTGCCTTTTTTGTGGATGCTATTAGAGGGATGCTGTCAAGTTGGTTTGTTGAGAGGCGAGAAGAAGCTGCCTCATTAAAAACAAAATTTAGTAAAAAGGTTGAAGGCTTACTTCATGAAAGACACGGTAAACAGGACAATTTAAGTGTTCAATTTATTGATTCAAACCGTAGCTTAGTTACCGGTGGAGAATTTGACTGTCTGGTAGATCTACATGAGGTAAGCCAAATAATTATGAATTTTAAATTATCTTGTCGGATTCTCAAAGCTATGCGAGGCGGTGGACGAGCCGTAGGCCAACGCCCCTGATTATATTTCTTTTCTTTGGCAGAGACGTTGTACATGTAGACAATTTGATGTCGAGAAGATTCCCTGCGAGCACGCGATAAAAGCAGCAGATAGTCGGAAAATTGATGAAGCTACTCAGGTGGCTGCTCAACACAGCAAGGCCTATTTGTATTCATCGTACTCCGAAGCTATAAACCCTCAAGACAAAGATTTTGTCCCCCCCCTTCAGAAGTAATGACTCTCAGGGTTCTGCCACCTGATGTTAAAGTGCCTTCTGGGAGACCAAAGACGAAGAGATACCGTTCAGCTATTGAGAGGGCTAAGAGGTTCAAGCGTAATCAAGGGAAGAAAAAGACAACTAATCCTCTACAGAGTACCGCCTGCACAAAATTGTTGAAAACGAATCAGTCTTCACCGTCCAAACAGAAGAAAACTTTTGTGCCGTCAACTCTAACACCGAAGAAGACAAACAAGCGAAAATTAAATTCCCCATTTACTCCAATGCCCAAGAAGAAAGCTAAAGTTTTAAGGCAAACTCCCCAACGCAATGCCCCCGAGTCGGTTCTCAGACGTTCTTGCAGATCAAAATTGAAAGCTTCATTTCCTCAGTGTACTCCACCTCCCGCGAAATCTACAACAATATCCCCATCCCCAACGATGAGAAAACGTTTGTTCCCGAGTGGCCCAACACCAACGAAAAGGACGCGCATGTGTTCAAAATGCCACAAAGCTGGACATTATCGCTCCACGTGTTCATTCAAATAAACTCTGCCAGCTTTCCTTTAAATTTCCTTTAACCTAGGCGGTGCTCTGCTGCGTCTTAGTTGCTGTATTTCTTTGATACTCTATTAATTATGAGACAAATATGGTTCTCTATTAGTAACGAAAATAGTAAACTGATGATTTAAATGATATTTTTCCCGTTCTTTATTACACTGGCGTAATGCCATCTTCTGCCATAGAAAAAAAAAACTGAGATAGACAATAGGGTTAACAATAGTGGGTTCTTTATTACACTGGCGTAATGCCATCTTCTGCCATAGAAAAAAAAAACTGAGATAGACAATAGGGTTAACTGGCGTAATGCCATCTTCTAAAGAAGACTTTTTTTTAACATAAGTCTTGGAAACGAGTTGCATACTTGTAAACAAAGCATCTACGGCAGAGATGAAAGACTGAAACATTGTTTAGAAAATAATGTGGGAGGCCACCACCATATGTAAAAGAATTGTCATACAAGCCACCCCTTGGAAGAGTGTTCATTGGGGAGGATAGTTTTTGAGAAGCTTTCAAAGGTTAACTGACTGTGGAAGCGCATGAAGCGTATCTCCTTCAGGCACCGCAAGTCACTAAAAGACAATCAATAGTATAATTTTATTGAAGATCGCAAAAAGAAAATGTCATAACGATAAGTAGCCATTTATTACGCAAACAAGACTATCACAAAATTTATGGATTTTTGGGCCTTAAGAAAATCTGGCGTACTTTGGCAGAAAAAGAACTGTCATTATCCTAAGTGGTCGACTCCTTCAGGCAGCGCAAGTCGCTAAAAGACAATCAATAATATAATTTTATTGAAGATCGCAAAAGGAAAATGTCATAACAATAAAAGGCATTTATATACGCAAACAAGAAAATCTGACATACTTTGGCAGAAAATATGTGTCACTATATTCGTTACGAAACAAATATATGGAAAACAAAAATATATTATTCTTCTACTGTCAGGCATGATGTGTCGTCTTTCCGTTGGCTTATTTTTCGGCTTCGAGTTGTTCATTTACACGTTCTTTTTGACGAGGACGAGTTGTTTTTTCTCTTTATGAGCGTTGTTTCCCGTGTTGTAACGTATAGATTGCTTATAGATGTAGAAGAGTCTGAAAACTCATTAACAAGATCATCTCCAACACGCCCTCTAACCTACAAATTTGAGGGGTTTTTAACTCCAACAGGCCCTCAAATTTGAGGGTGCAGTATTCACACCCTCAAAATCTTTTTCATATTTGATTTTAGTCCTTATACTTTATATATCTTACAAATAATTCAATTAAATTCGATTACTTCAAAAATATTCATATAAATTCAATTATTTCAAATATATTCATATAAATTCAAATACATTAAAATTATTAAAATATAAAAGATATAACATTTTTACAAAATAGATATAGAACAATAATATTACATTGAGCAGTTTAACACAAATTTAAATTAACATTACAATAATAAATAATACATACATTTAATTTTGTAATCATTTTTATGTTTTATTTTAGGGTTTGTGACATGTTGGGGCACTTTGTGAGTTTTTATGAGCATATGGGGTACAAAAGAAGGAGTAGGTACTTTTTCTGAGTTTTTTCACTGTTCAACAAAAATCAATACCGTTATACCCTTACTACACGTGGACAGTTAACCCAACTATGATTAACTTGTTTAATCTCAGCCGTTGGATATCCAGGAGAGAGAAATGATCTAACGGTTTGTTATCATTGAAAGATGAGATGATGGAATTGTGTGGATATTGCAGACAAAAAAGATTTAATGGTTGTGGGTGGGCACAGTATTCGGAGTGGGGTTTGGTTGTAAAGAGATAGAAATGAAGGTAATGGATTATAATAAAAAAAGGATTATAAGTTCTAAATCAGAGATAAACATATTTTTATTGTATAATAAATTATAATTATTCTTTCTTTACATTTGAAGATCCATTTTACTATAGTTTGTAAATTAAAAAATCATATAACACAGAAATATTTTTAAAGGATAAAATAAAAACTATCCACATAATCTTGAACACATGATAGATTTTTATAATTTTACATCAAAATTGACAACACAATCATTTAGAATTACCGCTCATACAAGCACATCCACTAAACTCTAACCATGTGGTCATTTCAATTCAGGTCTAATTTATTTTTTTCACTATAATGAGAAGTATGTAACCATAAACCCTAGAATCATTGTAGGCAGTCATGGTTCTTCAACCATAATATCCTAAACCCAAACCATAAACACTAAACCCTAAACCTTATATACTAAACCCTAAACCCTAGAAATTAAATCCAAGCACATAAACCTAAACCCTAAACCCTAAACTCAAAACCCTTAATTTTAAAACCTAAACCATAGAGATTTAAACCTTAACCCTAAATACTATACCCTAAATAGTAAAAGCTAAACCCTAAAAACTAAACAAAAAACCCTATACCCTAAACACTTAACACTATACCGATAAAAACGAAACCCTAAACCCTCAACAATAAACATTAAACCCTAAATACTAAACACGAAATACTATATCCTAAACATAAATACTAAATGCTAAACTCTAATTATTAAACCCTAAACCCTAAATACTATACCCTATCCATCATAACATAGCCACATGTTCGATATAAATTAAACCCTAAACCATAAACAATAAATCCAATACGCTTAACCCTTACATTACCATCAAAATATTGCGACGGGGTTGGATAAAAACCCTTTCCATGTAAACCTAGCCACAAGATTCCATATACGCTCAAATTCTAAGACTATACTATACCCATAAGAACGAAACCCTAAACCCTAAACAATAAAACTAAACAGTAAATACTAAACCCTAGATACTAAAAAAAGGAACCCTAAACCCTAAATAAATACTAAATACTAAATCATAATTAATAAACCCTAAAATCTAAACCCTAATCATAATTAGTAAACCCTAAACCATAAACATTAAACCCTAAATCTCTAAAGTCAAAACCCTCAACTCTAAACCCTAAACCATAGAGACTAAACCATTAACCCTTAACCATATAACTAAACCATATACCATAAACCCTAAACCATAAACCATAGAGACTAAACCCTTAACCCTTAACCATATAACTATAACTTATACCCTATACCTAAACCCTAAATCCTAAACTCTAAACCCTAACTCTAAACTCTAAACCCTAAACATGAAATCCAAAACTATAACCCTAAACCCTACAATACAACCTCTAACTTTTATCCCTTCAACCTTAAACCCTAACTTTTATAGATACAACATCAATAACCACCACTTTGGGTCCATAATAATCTAAAACATGTTTCTTAATCTGAAAACATATAACATTATTGAGATCGATGTGTTCATGTACACAATCGTACAATATACACTCGTATTGTTGTTTTGTTTGTATTGTGGATATGACCACTAGAACTTGTTTCATCAAATTTTATCACGGTCTTTTATATAACGTAACACTTATTTTGTGGACAACATTATACAAAAATCACATTAGATTTGTAACATAACAAAATACTGGCTTCCATAATGCTTTTTCTATACATAAATCATTTATAAATTCATAATGCATAATACATCATCCATTATGTGTCATCCATAATGTGGCATCCATAATATGTCATACATAATAGTCAATAATAATAGTGGTGACTGATAGAGATAAGTGTGGGAAGTCATTGACACAAAAATATTTTTAAGGGACAAAATATAAACTATCCACAGAATCTTGAACACATGACAGTCTTGTTTTTAATTTATATCAAAATTTACAACGCAATCATTCCAAATTATTGACCATCTATGTGTATGATAGAAGAGAATCTCTTGTTTTTATTGATTGAAATAGAAGGATTACAGAGAGGTATATATACACAATACATAGAGAGAATTTCGAAGAGACATAGAGATGGTCAAGGCAAGAGATAAATGTGTAGAATACTAAGAGATGATGTGTAGAATTCTAAGAGATGAGTCAAGAGTAGTAAATACTCTAACACGCCCCCTCAAGATGGTCGGCACGTAGAAAGACCAATCTTGGTAGCAAGATAGTGAAAACGTGTACGAGGCAGTGGCTTGGTCAAGGCGTCAGCGAGTTGATCAGCAGAGGTTATGTGAGAGACGCGAAGCTTGTTGGATTGAACTTGTTCACGCACAAAGTGATAATCAAGGGCTAGGTGCTTCATGCGAGAATGAAAAACAGGATTGGCGCATAAATAAGTTGCACCGACATTGTCACAGAAGATAGTTGGAGTGGACACAAGAGGAATACCGAGTTCAGCCATGAGAGAGACGAGCCATTTAACTTCAGAGGCAGTGATAGCAACACTTCGATATTCAGCTTCAGTCGATGATCTAGCAACACCTTTTAGTTTCTTAGAACACCATGAAATTGGTTGTTTGCCAAGGTAAACAATGTAAGCACCGGTAGAAGAGTAGTCGTCCTGATTTCCAGCCCAATCCGCATCAGAATAAGCATGAAGATTGAGTGGCGTAGTCCTAGAAAAGAAGATACCTTTGGTCGGTGTACCAGCGAGATATCGCAAGATCCTTTTGACAGCTTCAAAGTGAACCGTAGTAGGACGATGCATATACTGAGAGAGACGATTAACGGCGAAAGCAATATCAGTTCGTGTGAGAAGAAGATATTGGAGACTACCAACGATGGTCCGAAACTCAGTGGGATCATCAAGAACAGAGCCAGCAAAGGCAGTGAGACGATCATTGGAACACATTGGTGTGGAGACCGGTTTGCAAGACGCCATATTAGTTTTGACCAATAAATCAGTAATGTACTTTGTTTGAGTAAGATGAAGACCAGAGGTATCACGATAAGCTTCCATTCCCAGAAAATAAGAAAGATTACCAAGATCTTTGAGAGAAAACCGAGCAGCCAAGACTTGAATAATCCGAGAGACTTCCATAGAATTATTGCCGGTAATTAGAAAATCATCAACGTAGATGAGTATATAAACCAAGACACCACCCTTATTAAGGACAAACATGGAAGCATCAGCAAGAGAGTTCACAAACCCGATGCTTAGGAGAAAGTCACGAAGCGCATTGTACCAAGCACGTGGAGCTTGCTTGAGACCATATATTGCTTTTCGGAGGCGACAAACGTGATT